AGAGAGAGAGAGAGAGGGAGAGAGCGAGGGGCATACGCCGTCATTCGTGTGTGTGTGTGTGCGCGCGCGGCAGTGCGCCTTCGCGCAGTTGCAAAAGCGTGCGGAGGTGGCAGGCCGCCTCTGCAGACGCGTTCATTTTTCTGCTTCACCGAACGAACTTCATGGATGTCGTCTTTTTTACCTCTTTAACTGCGCATTATATACATTTACATGTATATATCTCCGTCTCTCTCTGTGTGTGCGTTTCTCCCCACACAAGCTCGCACACACCCTCCCAAGCTATCGCGTTTTGTGCCTGTCATGACGTTTGATGTGACGAGCTACACTGCGGCGCAGCAGCAGCGGCTGGAGGAAATACGTCGCGCGACGGAGAAGGAGCGGGCACTACTCGCCCTGTACGCGGGCAAGTTGGCGTCCGGCACGCAGGCGGCCCCCAGCCCTCCCGCGGACGACAGTCAGGCCCTGTCGGGCCCCAGCGACGGCGGGCGATGGGCCTCGATGAACGACAGGGCCATGGAGCTGCACGCGTTGGATGAGAAGTTGCTGTTGGAGGAGCGGGAGGTGGAGCGTCAGACGTCTGAGCTCGACCGACGCCTGCACGCGGCGGAGCGAAGAAAGACGGAATTGCTGTCGCGCCTCGCCGCTCTCCAGCACCGGGAGGCGCTCGTAAAGAAGGAGGAGGGGCTCCTGGAGGAGGTGGAGTCCGGTGCTCAGCGGGCGTCGCGGGAGCTGGAGGCCTTCTCGCAGGGGCTGAATGAGGAGCAGCGCGCCATGGAGGCACGAGTGAGTGAGAAGCGTGCCCGTCTCCTCGCGGCGAAGTCGGCCGCGCGTGAACAGCAAAGAAAGAGGGAGGCGTTGGAGGCACGTGGTCGTGTGCAGTTAGAGGAGGTGCAGGATCGCCTCCGGGAGCACCGCATGGAACATGCAAGGCTCAGCAGCGCAGTGGGTGACAAGGAGAGGTGGCTGCGGCAGGAGCAGTCCCGCCTGCGAGAGGCGGAGCTCGCCGCCATTTACCGACTGAAGAAGGACATTGAGCTCATGGCGATCTCCTTGGACAACTCCGCGGGGCGCCGCTGAGTGCACAAGACACTCAAAACAGAATAAAAATAAAAAACGAGGGTGCCTCAGCCGTTCACTTTTTGTTTTTGTTTTTTCCTTTGGAGTGTCTCTGCGTTTCTTTATTTATTTTTTTCCTCTTCGCTGTTTTTCCTTCTGTATGCGAGTATGTGAGTGTGTGTCTGTGCATCCTCCCCTTTCTAGTGGTGAAACAGAAACCTTGTGTTTTTTTTTGCCACCCTCTGCGTCTGTCCAACGTTACACTTGGGCGACAGGCAACGATGAATGAGTTCCACCGCATGCCACTCCCGAGTGTGCCGTTGGCTACTTTATTCTTATGTTTGTGTTCCCCGTTCCTTCTCTTTGTTGTTGTTCTTTTTTTTGTGTGTCGGTGGTGTTGGGTGGGGGGGGGGTGTTGTCGGTGCTTTGCAGGATTACTCTGCGCCGTGTGTGC